TCGTTGTCTTCGTTGTCGGCGTCGTCGTCGTCGTCGTCGTCGTCGCCGTCGCCGTCGTCGTCGTCGTCGCCGCCGCCGCCGCCGCCGCCGCCGCCGCCGCGGCCGACGGGCCCATTTTCGACGTCGCCGTGGGCCGCGTCGTCGGCGCCCCCTATCGTCTTCCAAATGTCGTCGCCGTCGACGGCCGGATACAAACAACACAACGCAAGTGAAAGTCAATGCGTGGTCAATGCAAACGCATGGCGTGCTAACGAGTTACTAATGTGCGTCACCGTTTTGCCACGGCGCGCACATTAATCGCGGCGGGCGGCGCGAGTTCATCCCCAGGCGATGTTGCGTCGGAGCAGCGAGTGGCTGAACGCAAGAACCGCTCGCGGTCGTGATAACACGTCGCGGAATGAGCTTCAAGAGGACGCGGAGTAAGTAAGTTTTGCAGCAAGGACATGCGGGGTGAGTTCATCCCCGACGGCGGAATGAGTCTTTTCCGTGTGAAGACAAGACAAGCGGAGTCAGTTTTTATCTTGTACTGGACATTTCATATCTACATGCCAGTTTGATGTTGGCCGAAACCTACTCCGCCGCCGCCGGACCCCAGGTTGAAGGCTTCAACAGGGGAAGGGGATTGCACGTTCACAGGGATCGTCAAGCATAAGAACCGCCGTTGTTTGAAGGCCATTGAGCGACCCACTTGGAACCATGTTGGGCTCTCTAGGGCGAAAGCAAGTCGCATTCGCCTCTGTTTCTTGAATGCGTATGGCTTCAATGGGCTTGCTGAGTGTTTTCTCGTGGGCCTCGTCGGGGCTTCTTCGGGCCTCTTGTAGACATTTTTTTCGGGCCTCATGGTGCCTGTTGGGGTTCGCTGGTGGTGGCCTCCTCGGGTGGAAACGTCCCGTGGCCGTATCGGGATATTCTTGGGTCGTCTCGAAGGCGTCTCGGCTTGCCTGGGGCCTTCGTAGGCAGGTTTATTGTCTGAGTGGCCATGCTGGAAGTATGCAGTGCACGGGACGGACTTTCGAACATTCCAAGCCACCCAGGAGCATCCAACCCGAATCAAACGTGTCAGCGGGCACTGTGGCAGATTCCCTTATTCCTTGTTGGACGAATCACACGGAAGCGTACCCCTCTTGTGACCAGGGTTGTATCCCACCAGTGCGCATATTTATGCCCTGTCGGAATTCGTCACGCGTCTTTTGTGGCCAGTGATGGCCCGTCCTCATCAGAGTGCGGGGGCTGAACCGAACGGTCATTCACTGTCCCTGGGTGCGTGGCTGAAGTGGGATTCCGCGATGTGGATTCTTGTTGTTGTTGTTGTTGTTGTTGTTGTTGTTGTTGTTGTTGCTGTTGCTGTTGCTGTTGCTGTTGTTGTTGTTGTTGTTGTTGTTGTTGTTGTTGTTGTTGTTGTTGTTATTGTTGTGTTTGTTGTTTGTTGTTTGTTGTTTGATGTTTGTTGTTTGTTGTTCGTTGTTTGTTGTTGTCGTCGTCGTCCCACCCGCGACCCGCGACCCCCCGCGACCCACCCCGCGATCCACCTGCGACCCACCCGCGACCCGCCCCGCGACCCACCCGCGACCCGCGACCCACCCGCGACCCACCCGCGACCCACCCCGCGACCCACCCGCGACCCACCCGCGACCCCCCGCGACCCACCCGCGACCCACCCGCGGCCCAACGCGACCCGCGACCCACCCCGACCCAATCGCGAAACCCACCCGCGACCCACCCGCGACCCACCGCGACCCACCCCCGCGACCCACCCGCGACCCACCCCGCGACCCACCCAAAATTTTCGGCGCCTGCGGCGGGTTTCTTTTGCATTCGTTCCAGGTGGAGAACCTGCGACCCACCCGCGACCCAAACCGCGTTTAGTGTACAAATCAAAATTTCGGCGCCTGCGGCGGCTGTTTTTGAATTCCTTCCAGGTGGAGGTGGAGAGCCCGCGACCCACCCCCGACCCAAACTACGTTCACTGAACAAGCCAAACTTCGGCGCCTGCGGCGGGTTTCTTCGGCATCGCGACCCACCCGCGACCCACCCGCGACCCACCCCGCGACCCACCCGCGACCCACCCGCGACCCACCCGCGACCCACCGCGACCCACCCGCGACCCACTCGCGACCCACCCCGCGACCCACCCAAAATTTTCGGCGCCTGCGGCGATCTTCTTTTGCATTCGTTCCAGGCTTCTTTTGCATTCGTGAGGGCCACGAGGTCTGCCGGCTCGACGCCCGCGTCGCCCGCGCCCGCCCCTCACTCTTATCCGCAATTGCGGGGTGCTACGTACGGCTTTCTTACCCCTTGTCCAGTTCTTTCTAGTTCTTTCCTCGTTTCTGTTGCCTCCTCTTTCTGCTGCCCTCCTTCCTCCATGCTCCCTGCTTCTTCCCCCGTCCTCCGTCTTCACTTTTCATCAGTATTCCTTCCTTTCTCCTCTCCCTCCTCCTTTATCTCTCCCTCCTTGCTCCGCTGTGCTCACCAACGCCGCCGCCATCACCCGCCACACGCCCACACCCACCCACAATTCAACAGACCGCCCACCACGCATCACCGCACCATTCACCCAGCGCTCACCACCCCATCCACCATGATGCACCATCACCACCAGCATCAGCACCAGGGCCCCCCACCCACCGTCCACCATGCGCAACCCACCCGTGCCCGCTATTTTTCAGCCCCTACCGCTCACCGTCAACGATCAACCGCTCACCGCAAGACCAGCTTCCACAAACCACCCGAACCACCACCCACCACCAGCCGCAACCACCCCTTTCACTCTTTATTTGCAGTGTACCATGATGTTAGATGCTGGATTGGTCGCGCGCACCCATCTGCACACCACGCAACTCGTCCTATACCAGGTGCCATACTTGCGCGAGTCGCCCATACCATTATGTCGGCTGTGATTCCTGGCACCTCAACGCACTTCATGTGTTCACGCGTTTCACATTCCAAATGTCTTATCAAAACATATCCCCACACTAAGCATCGTCTTATTTTGTGGTATTCACTTTGGGCTTGCTTGGACATTTCAGGGCAGACTCCTTTCACGTCAGATACCCGCCAGTTCCAGTTCTACTTTACATCTGTGCTTCCATTGAACTGCATGTTCACATTCGGATATCAGGCACATGCAGAATTCATTACAACGGCTCAGTACCTTCATGTTCCAGGCACGTCGTCAAAGCTGAGGTATTTCTCCCTCCTCCCCTCCTCCTCCCTTCCACGTCCTCCCAATCTTACTACTCCCTCGCCCCTTCCCCGCGCCACTCAGGCGTCACCATACGCAGACACCTTGCAGGCAGATGCGATGGTACCCCCCCTCCTCCCTTCCCTCCCGCCTCTCTGGCGCCTTCCCCAGAGAAGGCTGCTCAGAGGAGGCGCCTCAGGCAAGAGCCCAACGTCTAGAGGGCCCTGAGGAGCGCCTCAACAGGGAGGGCTACCAAGCCGAGTCCCAGGTCCGCCCATCCTTCGACATTGTGACTTCGTCCCCGCCCCCGCGCCCGCCACTTGGTCACACCGCCGCCTGCCACTCCACAGCCTGCCTCCGCGGGTCCCCGACCACTGCGCTCCACCGCCCTCCACCGTCGCTTTCCAGCGCCACTGCCGCCTCCTGTTTGGCATCCGTGTTTGAGCCTGAAGGGGATGCCGTCGAAGCTGGGGGTCGGTGAATATGACGCTGCGTCTGCTCGGTGGCGGCGGGCTGGCTTTGCATTTCGAGGTCTGACGATGCAAGTTGTCGATGGGCTTCTCGAGCTTTCTCGAAAGTGCTTTGCGCAGGCAATGGAGGGAGAGCGGAGAGGCAGAGAGCGAGGGTGGGTGAGGACGTTGGCGGGCGACAATTCGTGATGTCTGTCCACGACGCGTGCGAGCTGGACTCCTCGCGCACCCTGTGCGTGCCCGTCGACGAGGACCACCCCCTGTACCAGGACCACCGCCACGAGCTGGGGGCGCCCCCCTCGTGCTGCCTGACCTCGGTGGACCGCGGCAACGGCCTCTACGACATCGAGTGGGCCGGCAACCGGAGCGGGACGTACTCGCTGCTCATCGAGGCTCGGGGGGATGGCAATGGGGGGTGTCGGGGGTGGACAGAACCCCCAACAGTGACACGTCGATTAGTGACTTGTCCGTTTTCGGTTCTCGAGAGGGCGCCGTGGCCGTTATTTTCAAGGCGTGCGCCCGCCAGGTTTGGGCCTCAGGTCGTTTTCACTAAACCACGTTTTACTAAAGGGGGGTCTGTCCATCCCCGAGGGTGACCCACATGGGGGGTGAAGAGACGAGCCCTGAAGCGGCCCTTTAGGGCTCCTTTAGGAGCCAGCTGGTGCCCCAAAGGGGCCCCGAAAGGGCCCCATATAGGGCCTTTGTCTTCACCCCCACGTTGGGTCACCCCCCATGACCACCCGCTGGAGAGGCGGTGTTCTCCGGCGGACTGCAGGGGCTGTATTGGGACAACGCGTGGTACGACGGGGAGCCCAGGCTGTCCGAGCTGGACGCGGGCGTGGACAAGGACGCCTCTGGTGCGCCCGGGCATCCCCAGCCTCGCCGTCGTCGTCGTCGGTGGCGACGACGGCGCTCCAAGAGGCGTCGTCGTCGAGCGGGTCGTGCGGGTGGACCCTAATGTGCAATGGGTGGGCCAGGAGGGCGGACTTCACGGGCGGGTCGGGCCGGCGGGTGGGGCGGGTCCTTGCGGGAATGCTGAGATCGGGCGAGGTCGACTAACCACCTCGCCGATCGTGGCCTGGCCCATCGGAGAGAGGGTCAGTGAACGCCCCCCGATCGGACGCACCGACGCCGCAAGGACTGGGGGACGGGCGCCGTTGTGCCCCTCGCCGCCGACTTCGCCGCGGCCCGCTGGAGCGGCTACTTCCGGGCCCACGCGACGGGCACGTACGTCATCTACCCGCGCGCCGACGACGCCGTGCGGCTGTGGCTGCAGGGCGAGCTCCGCGTCGACTCGTGGGGGGAGGCGGGCCAGCCGTGGGTCGAGCAGTGGGCGAGGAGCGGGGGAGAGCGAAGAGAGAGATCCCGAGGCCGCTCCCCGCCCCATCGCCGCCACGGCTGGACTCGCCTCGAGGTGCCGGCCAGAGCACGCTGCACCGGGAGAGGTCCAGGGCGCAGCGGCGTCCGTGTCTCGCTGTCTCCCGCGGCGGGGACTCCCGCGCGAGGATCCACCTGAACGCGGGGGAGTTCTGCGCCATCCGCATGGACTACCTGGAGCAGCAGGGCACCGCCCGGGCGCGGCTCATGTGGCGGGCCCCGAACGGGCCGAAGGAGGTCATCCCCGCGGACAGCCTGTTCTACGGCGCCGCTCTCGCCGACGCGCCCTTCACGGTGGAGGTGCAGTCCGGCCCTGCTTCCGCAGGCAACAGCCGGATGCTGAACCCGCCTCTGGGCTCGATCGCCAGCGGCGCGCAGCAGCGCATCTGGATCGAGGCGCTGGACCTCGCCGACAACACCGTGAGCAGCACGGGCTTCGACTTCGAGCTCACCTTCACCCTGCTGGGCAACAGTACCCAGAACGCGAGTGTCTTCTGCAACGACATGCCCGTTGGCAGCGCCCGCCTGCTGTCCGCGGCGAACGCGACCGCCCAGAACGGGTCCGCCGCGAATGCGACCTCTGGGAACGAGGGCTCTGGAACCGAGATCTCTGGGAACGGGTCCTCTGTGAACGAGTCTTCTGAGAGCGAGGCCCACGGAAACGAGACCTCCGCGGACAGCATCCCTTGCTCGACGTCCCTGTGGTTGGGACGGTTCCCTTCGGTGCCTCTCATGCCGCCGCCTCAGCAGCCGCGGGAGCAGGGCATAGGCACGGCCCGACGAATTTGCTCCGCCCTCCCCATCCCTTCCTCCCTCGTCCTCCTGCCACCCAGTACTTGATCCTGCTCGTGCTCGTCCGTCCACGGCTGCTGCCTCCGCTACTGCACCCCCCCTCTTGCTTCCCCCCCCTCACTGGCCGCTGGTCGCTTCTCACGCCTCAGCTATCACCCATAAGCCTCCCCATATCCCTTCTACGCCCGCCCCCGTATCCCTCCCCATGCTCTCTCTCTCTCTCTCTTTGTCTCTCTCCCGACCTCATTGCGGGACGACTGGAAGACTGTCTCCTTCGACCGCCTTTGCGCTTCTGGCAGTGCCCCCCCGCTGCGCCAGCAGGGCACTTGCCGGCGGCTGGTTGGTGCACCCGCGCGGATACTCGCGCGCCTTCCGCCCTGCACTGACGTCCCCTCGGCACGATCGAGACGGGTACATGTGTGGAAATAGCGGACGAAGACTAGCAGCCGAGTTCCTGCCCACTCCGGGCACGACCCCCTGCCGACGTCGCCGCGGACGTTGCCCAGTCTCTTTGGCATCGCTCGGACGCGTGCATTTTCTTTCGTCGAGGACCATCGAGGGGCATCTTGGATCATCGTGCAGAAATAAACGCACGAAACCGACTTGTGCGATGGGATTGGAGCTCTGAGCGATGGCGAAGTCTGAGGCGAGAGTTCGCCCGCCCAGCAACGCCCGCCGTGGGCCTCTAACAACAACAACAACACCAACAACAACAACAACAACAACAACAACAACACCAACAACAACAACAGCAACAGCAACAGCAACAGCAACAGCAGCAACAACAACAACACCAACAACAACACCAACACCAACAACAACAACAACAACAGCAACAGCAACAGCAACACCAACAACAACAACACCAACAACAACAATAACACCAACACCAACACCAACACCAACACCAACACCAACACCACCACCACCAACAACAACAACACCAGCAACAACGACAACCAACAGCCAACAACCAACAACCAACAACCAGCAACCAGCAACCAGCAACAACAACAACATCAACAACAACAACGTGTTTCCTGCTGCGCACGCGTGCCCGTTTGCTCCAGTCCACCCGGCTTCGGTACCCAAGGCCGCCCGCGCACTACGCCGGATGCCCCCCCCCCCCCGCGGTCCCCCTCCGCGGCCGCCCTCGTCTCCTCCTCTCGCCTCGCGCGCCCTGGCCGCGCGCGGCCCGCCGGCTTCGACCGCGGTCGGCGACCGACGTTCGATCGCTGCCCCCGCAATGCGGGGCGCCAGGGGCAGCAGGGCACGGGGGCAGGAGGCGTGGCTCCCGAGGCCAGGCTTTCGGCGCAGGCCGCCGCTCGGGCCCCCCGTGGGGCCGGGGCGCGAGCAGGGGCACGGACGGCAGGCCGAGCGCCCACGCGCGGGCGCTCGCCTGCGCTGCCGACCAACACACAGGGGGAGCCCGTTCGTTCCGTGCCTGTTGGCCGCGGGCCGCGGCGGGCCGCGGCGCGGGCCCGCCCGCCCCCCTACCCCCCCTCCCCCGCGGGGCACGGGCCGGCCGAGGGCGCAGCGCACGGAGGGGGACGTCCAGGACCACGTGCACTACGTCGACTTCGTGCTGCAGTTCCCGGGCGAGTACCTCCTCGAGGCCTCTGCGCCGGCCTGTCCTTGTCCTCCTCCTCCTCCTCCTCCTCCTCCTCCTCCTCCCTCCTCCTCCTCCTCCTCCTCCTCCTCCTCCTCCTCCTCCTCCTCCTCCTCCTCCTCCTCCTCCTCCTCCTCCCCTCCTCTCTCCTCCTCCTCCTCCTCCTCCTCCTCCTCCTCCTCCTCCTCCTCCTCCTCCTCCTCCTCTCCTCCTCCTCCCTCCCCTCCTCCTCCTCCTCCTCTCCTCCTCCTCCTCCTCCTCCTCCTCCTCCTCCTCCTCCTCCTCGTCCCCTCCTCGTCCTCCTCCTCCTCCTCCTCCTCCTCCCTCCTGCTCCTCTCCTCCTCCTCCTCCTCCTCCTCCCTCCTCCCTCCTCTCCTCCTCCTCCTCCTCCTCCCCCTCCCTCCGCCCTCCTCCTCCCCCTCCTCCTCCCTCCCTCCTCCTCCTCTCCTCCCCTCCTCCTCCTCCTCCTCCTCCTCCTCCTCCTCCTCCTCCTCCTCCTCCTCCTCCTCCTCCTCCTCCTCCTCCTCCTCCTCCCTCCTCCTCCTCCTCCTCCTCCCCCTCCTACTCCTCCCCATAGAGGCGGTGATCCGAAGCAATGGGGGCGGCCAGCTTTCTCGGCTATCTCCGGCCTCCCGGGGGCCTCCGCGGGCCCCGGGATCGTCCAAGACCGACCAGAAGGATGAAGCGCCGGCGCCAGGGAAGTGGTCCGGGGTCCACGAGTCGAAAGCATTGGAGTGTTGGACATTTGGGTCCCCCCGGGGGCCTGCTCCCCCCCCTGCTCCTTTTTCCATGCTGCGAGGATTTTGGCGAGATGGTCGCAGGCTCCGGGTGCTGCCCCCGTCCTCTTCATCCCGTGCTGCAGTGCTCCTTCTCGGGCTGCCGCATTTCTTCCTCCCCTGCGCCCTGCTTCCTCCTCTCCTTCCTGCTTCCCTTCCTCCTTTTCCCTCCTCATCCTCTCTCCTACCTCCTCCCTCCTCCCTCCTCCTCCCTCCTCTCCTCTCTCCCTCCTCCTCCTCCTCCTCCTCTCCTCTCTCCTCCTCCTCCTCCTCCTCCTCCTCCTCCTCCTCCTCCCTCTCCCCTCCCTCCTCTCCTCCTCCTCCTCTCCTCCTCCTCCTCCTCCTCCTCCTCCTCCTCCTCCTCCTCCTCCCCTTCTTCATTCTCCTCCTCCTCCTTCTCCTCCTCCTCCTCCTTCTCGTCGCTACTCCCTCCTCCCTCTTCCCTCCTCACTCCCTTCTCGCTTCACCTCCTCTTCCTCGTCTTCCTCGATTTCCTTCTCATCCTCCCCCCTTCTTCTCCCTCGCCACGCCTGCTGCATCGCGATGATCATGAGCGAGTCTTTCTACGAGGAGCGAGGATGAATGTGTCTGAGTATGGAGTGACAGAGTGAAGGTTTGTCTGAGTGTGTGCCCGAGTATGGTTGCGTTTGAGTCTGACTGATCAGAGTGAGTGGTCTGTCTGTCTGTCTGTCTGTCTGTCTGTCTGTCTGTCTGTATGTATGAGTATGAGTATGAGTATGAGTATGAGTATGAGTATGAGTATGAGTATGAGTATGAGTATGGCTAAGCTGACTACGAGTGAGTCTGGGTGCGATTTGACTTAATACGAGTGAGCCTGAGTATGACTGGGTCTGAGTATCAGTGGATCTGAGTATGCGTGCGGTCTGAGTTTTGGGTACTGCGAATATGAGCGGGTCTCAGGTGTGCGTGTGTCTGAGTGAGTTAGTCTGAGTATTATTGTCTCTGCTCTGTGCTCCCCGTCCTTGTTCGCTTCTTGCTGCCCCCCTCCATTTCCTGTGCTTCGTTATTTCAACGATGTCGTATTGAACAGGCTCCATATGAACGCTTGTGTGTAGAGGACAGGTACCATCGTGTGCATGAGATGTTCGGCTGTCGCCGAAAAGGGAGATCCTCGCTCTGGGGTCACGTTTGAGTGGCCCTTTACTGCTGTCTTGTCGTCAGCAAAGAAGGGAGTGAGTCTGAGTATATGAACGAGTCTGTTGGTGAGTCTGTGTGTTAGTGGGTCCTTGTCTGTGTGTGACGAGAGGAATCAAGGGGAAGGCGGGAGTTGAGACAGGAGGGAAGGAGTAGGAAGGATGGCGGTGGATACGTCACACGAGAGGGGACGTCAGCAAGGATACCAGGAAAGCAATTGTTGACGCTTCGCGAATCCCCACCAGCTCCTGGCAGCTGCAGCCCGCACCACCTCCCGCTTCCGGTCCGCTGAGGTGCCGCTTAGGCCTCTGTTTGCTGGCGCGTTAGGCAATTAGGTTCGCGCGTGGCCCGCCCGTCCCGTTTGACGCTGCCTGCGCTTTCGCTTGCGGCTGCGACAAAAAGAATCCCCACCAGCACAAGAGATTCTGCCGTTTGCAGTCCTATCTGTGACGAGGCTGCCCCCTCTTCACTCCGGCGCTGACACGATGCTGTTGTGCCACCTACGGCACGGATGTCGTCCTTGAGTGCCTGTCGGACTTGCTCGTTTTTGTTGGGCCTTATGCCGACTCACACCGAGTGATCGACCTCTGCGTGTTCAGTTCATGGTCGCGCGTTGGGATCGCCGTTCCTGGTCCTCCTTCTGAGTGGTTGCCCGCGCGCTCGATTCGTTTGCCCCTCTCTTTTCTTGCTGCCTAGTCGCGGCCCGGCTAGTGATCGGACGGCTTTCGACTTGTTTCGCGAGCCCGCAGACCAAAAATAATCCCCACCAGCCCATCCAGAAACGATGCCCAGAGGAATTGCCTCGATCAGGGAAGAGGGCAGCACACAGAGGAAGCCATTATGAGACATCTTGGGATATCTTGAGCCATCTTGGAGGTCATCTTGGGCTCTCCCAGGCGCCCTTGGAGTCATCTTAATCAGTGCCCCCCCAGCCAACATGTGGCTAAAACCTCAATGAAATCAATGATTTGGCATTCTCGCCGAGGCCTCTTGGAGCATCTTGGGTGTCTCTGGGGGGCCTCTTGGGGCCTCTTGGGGGTCTCTCGGGAGCCTCTTGGGGGCATCCTGCTGGCCTCTTGGGGCTTCCTGGCCACCTCTTGGGGCCCTCTTGGGCGCCCTTGGGGGCCTTGGGGGCCATCTTTGGGCCATCTTGGGCGAGATCGATCTCAGGAGGGGGGGTGCCCAATTAGCGTCCCCCCGTCAAGAGGCCAAAATGGGTCCAAAACGTTGGTAAAGCCAATGATTTTGGCTTCCTCGCCGAGGCCGTTTTGGATGCTCTGACACCTCGCGAAACTCCCTGTCCAGGTCCATGGGGACGGGGCAGGGGGAGGGGTAGACCCCTCCCCGAAGGGGAAGAAGGTGGGGTGGAAGGGCAAAGTCTCTAAAACCACCTGCGCCCAGAGGGCTGGTGGGATTTTCGGACATGGGGGATAGCAGCAACCCCATCTTAGGAGTGTGGGGAACCTGCGTGCATTAACTCTTGCGGGTCCGCGCGGGGCTCTCGGATCGGCGGTGGGCCCCCCTCCTTGTCGCGGGGAGCGCGCTTGGGGCGCCGCCGAATGCGCCACCTAGGGGCTGTCCAGCGCCGGTCCAGGAATTCCGTATGTGACTCTCCGAAAGTTTATGCTCATGTCTTGTGCTTGTTCCTTCAGAGGCGCCTGCTTGGTCTGGGGGGGGGGTTGGTTGGCGGGAAGCCCCGGGGAGGGGGGTGTGCCAGCGAGGCGCGGCTCCTGAGCGAAAACGACACGTCGGGCGGCGGGGAGCTCCTGTGGCAGACGCCTCTCGCGGTGAAGGCGGTGGCGGCGCTGGTGCAGCCGCAGCGGTGCTCGAGACGGGCTGCGGGAGAGCGGCTCCCTGCCGCCATCGCCGTTGTTGCCGCCGCCGCCGTCGGCGTCCTCCCTTCCGCCGCGCAGGTAGGGGTGGGTCCTGGAGAGAGCGGGAGGCGTACTCTGAGTTGTTGTTTTTCCGTTGCCTCGCCGTCGGGGCCCTGCCCTGGGCCCAGGGGCGAATCAACCATATAAAAGGACCCGGGCCGGAAGTCGGTCCTGGCCCCGCCCCGTCTCTGAGATGCGGCGGCGCGATCAGAGACGGTTCACTGTGGGGCAAGCCCGACCAGAGCCCCAGACCTTGCCGGAGCCCTGGGCGCCACCGCGGCAGAGCTGTGCCGCTGCGAGGTGAGAGTCGGGGATTCATCCAGGGCCTGGGAGACGACGTTTTGGTGCTCCAGCGGGCGGTGGATATGATCATCTTGTGGCCCCCGGAGGCCCGAGTCTAGGCATATCCGCCGCCTGTGGAGGTCCGCGAAGATCGATCCTCCAGGCGGTGGACATGGATAGATCCCCGCCTCGGGGCGAGGGGGGAGGGGCGCGCAGCGCACGGGGCGCCCGGCACGGCGCCTGCAGGAGTCCAGGCGCCCGCCCTCGGTGCGGCGTTCCTCGAGGCGCCTTTCGGCCCACGAGGGCAGGGGGAGGGGGGAGGGGCAAGTTAGGTGCGCTCGCGTCTACATCTGACATCCTACCCCTCCCTCCCATCCCTTACCATGGCGCTGATTTTCTCTATCCGCGGACGCGTGTCGTAGCGGACCTGTGGCTCCGCGCGCGTGTGCGTAGTGGGTGGTGGTGCGCGTGCGTGCGTGCGTGTGTGCGTGGTTGTGGTTGTTGTGGTGGTGGTGTGTATGTGTGTGTGTGTGTGCGTGTGTGCGCGTGTGCTGTGGTGTGACGTGGTGTGGCGTCTTGGTGGTTTGGTGGTGGGCCAGGTGCGTACGTGCGTGATGGCGGTGGTGGTGGTGGCGGTGGTGGTGTGTGTGTGTGTGTGTGTGTGTGTCTGTGTGTGTGTGTGTGTGTGTGTGTGTGTGTGTGTGTGTGCGTGCGTGCGTTGTGCGTGTGTGTGTGTGTGTGTGTGTGTGTGTGTGTGTGTGTGTCTGTCTGTGTGTGTGTGTGTGCGTGTGTGCGTGCGTGCGTGCGTGCGTGCGTGTGTGTCTGTGTGTGCGCGCGTGTGATGTGGTGTGACGCGGTGTAGCTTGGTGGTGGTGGGTGGGGTAGTGCGGTGGTGGTGGCGGTGCGCGGTGGTGGTGCGCGTGCGTGCGCGCGTGCATTGGTGGGTGGAAGTGGCGGTGGGTGTGCGTGCGGCGGGGCGGGGCGTGGTGCGGCGCGGTGGTGGCGTGCGGATGGGCGCGCGAGAAAGAGGCCCGCGCTGGGGCGAAAACGCCATCCTGAACGACGGAGGCAAAACACCGATCCGAAAATGAGGCCCACGCTGCACCGGGAGCACGATTCGGAACGATTAGGGAGCGCAAATGAGGCCGGCGCCTCAGCGAGAGCAGCATTTTGAAACAAAAACGCAGGCGAAAACCCAACTCCCGGGAATCCTGTGTGTAAACAAACCGTACGCGGGGGGGAGGGTCTACTACTCCCAGCACGCATCAGGGGAAGAGGGAGAGTAGTATTCATATTGAGTAATTGTGGGGAGGGAGGAGGGAGGAGGGAGAGGGAGGAGGGAGGCGGGAGGAGGGAGGAGGGAGGGGGAGGGGAGGGAGGGAGGGAGGCGGGAGGCGGGAGGAGGGAGGAGGGCGGCCACGGGAGCCGGAGAGCTCGGGGGCCGACGCCCGCCGGGTCTTCGGGAGGGGGATGGGGGCATCGATGGTATCAGCATGCTGCGTCTTCGCTTCTGCCCGAACGCCTCCTCCTCCTCCTCCTCCTCCTCCTCCTCCTCCTCCTCCTCCTCCTCCTCCTCCCCCTCCTCCTCCTCGCTGGTGTCTCCTCGGCAGCAGCGCGCTGATGGAGTCCCCACGGCTGCGTGCCGCTGATGCGTTGGGGTCCCATGCCAAGCAACACCCTGCTTGCCTCCAGGGTGCCCTGGGTTCCTTGGGTTTCGATGGCTCTGCTATGGGAAGCGTGGCGTTCCCGCAGCACACATCAATTGGCGCCCTGGGATCTCAGGGTTGGGCTTCTTGGGGAAGGTTTCTTTTTGGACTGGCCTCCGCTGTGCTCCCCTTGCTCCCCGCGGGGTGCTCACGAGAGCCGTGGCGCGCCCGCACTCGGGGCCGCCCCGCCTCGCCACCCAGGTGCCTCGTCAGCGGCCCGGGGGCGGAGGCGTTCGTCGCCGGGGTGGAGACGTTTTGCCCTCGGCGCGCTCCGGCTCTGGCCCGCCCGGGGTGGGGGGGCGCTCGGACGGGGCCAGGACTGATGGGCCTGTTTTCCACCACCACCACCATCAGTTGGAGGAGGAGGAGGGGGAGGGACAGGAGGAGGAGCTGGAGGAGGAGGAGGACGAGGACGAGGAGGAGGAGGGCCCCCTCCCCCTCCAACTTGTGGTGGTGGTGGTGGTGGTGGTGGAAAACAGGCCCATCAAGGACGAGACTGAATCCGTCCAGTCCGTTCGGGAACGCTCGCAGAGCGTTCCAGGACGCTCTCAGATGGCCGCGGCACCCGAGACATCCTCCAGATCCGCCAGGGCTCAGAGGTTCTCGATTTGCCCCCACCCGATTTTATCCTCGTCCTGGCTTCGTCTTGGGCGCCGTCACGGCGGGCACCGGGCGGCGGGTCCCCGGCGGTGGGCGCCTCGCCCACAGCGCGGGCGCGGGAGGTCACCAATCGGCAGACCGCCCCAACCCCACCCGAAGGCCCCAAGCGAGCCTGCGAGAGCTGCCCTCCACTTCCAGCGGGGGGGGGGGGGCGCGTCGGGGAGCGTGGAAGCACACACATGTGGAGCCGTTGTCGGCACGAGCGAGATGGGTACGGAAAGAATGGGTACGACGCCCAACAGCAGGAGCGAAAGAAGGACGTACACGTACATGAATCCACGCTGGTTTCGAGAGTACGCATTGCCCGAATGTTCCTATCTCGCGGCCAGTCTCGCGGATCGAGGGGCCGCATTCATGTACATAGTTGGGCGCGTACGTCCTCTGTGGGCTCCCTACAACAGCAGTTTCTGTTCTTGAACAGGACTCGCTGTCCGCGCCGCCGCGGCATGTGTCCAGTTGAGGCACGAGGCCGTCCGCCCAACGGCGGCCGCTTTTTTGTTTGGGACAGCATTTGTTGTTGGGCGTTGTACTTATTATTTCCGTACCCATTGCGGGCGTCCAACCAGTAGCCCCCGCCCTTCGAAATTTGGGTCTTCGGGTCAAGTTGGAGTGGCCTCGCAGGCAGCCTCGGAGGGAGGGGGAGAGGGTCGCTGGCACGCCGGCGTCGGGGGCCCGCCGGGGTGCTGCTCCTTCCTTTGTTTGTTCTCGGGTCCCGGCGTGTTGCCCCTTTCTTCCAAGCAGTGGCGAAGCGTCCTGGCTCGCGCATTGGCCTACCAATTAGTGTTCTTAGAACATGTCTGGCCAGGACTGTCTTGTGTTATCACATCGGGCTTATGTTTCAAAAACAACGCTTTTGTTCTTACAACATGATTGGGCTTCAAGAACATGTTGTGGTAGGCGTATAGAAATGCCGGGACGGTCGGTCCCTGCTCGATTCTTCTTGTCCAAGGGCCCGGTGCTCCCTACGGCGGCGTGTCATTGGTACATTGATGTTGCTTTTTGCTCCCAGTGGTTGGCGGCGCGCGCGAGGGGTCTCTGGCGCGATGGGGGGCGGGCGGCCGTCTGGGAAAGCGGGAGTCTTCCGAGGAAACGGCCTACGGTAGGTTCGCGTCGTGTCGACCGGCGGCGACCCAGCCGCCGACGTTCAACGTTGAACGCCGGCGGCGGCCCAGAATCGGTCGATGTTGAACGATCGGACGTTGCGGAGACGGCCGATCGTTCAAGGTTGAACGATCCAGCGCGGTGTCAGGAACCAACGCCAGGGTCGACACGGCACGGACCTGCAGTATTCAGGGGGACGAGGAATGGGTGGGCGAAGAAGGGGTCCGGCGCGATGGGGGGATGCCTTCTGGGAAGGCGTGGGTTTTTTTTTATAAGGCGGGGGGCTTCTTGGAAGACGGCTCATGAGAAGAGCCCGGAGGCTCCTGAGAAGCCTTCCCTGCGGGGGCGAGAAATCGGGGGGGGGGCGAAGGCATGTGTACTTTTTGTGCACCTTCTGGGCCCTAGAGAGGTCCCCTGGGGCCCAGTAGGGACAAGATTTTTCGCCTCAATTCAGCAACGCCCAATTCTTAGAGCACTCCAGGGCCTCACAAGGAGGCCCTCGCCTTCTTGCGGGAGGAGTCACAGGAGAGCACCGCCCTCGCGCAGGCGAACGGAGGGAGAGCATTGCATTTCCCAGAGATCCGCCATGCTGCTGCTTCCACTGTGGGGTCCCCATGATCTGGGTCTCCCAGATGGGGTCGGAGTAATTGGCGTCGGATGATTGCGCCGCATCGCCAATGTATCGGCGATGCGGCGCGATGTGGAGCCTGATGCATCGGCGATGCGGCGCCGATGCATCGGCGATGTGGCCGATACAAACGAACACGTGTACCATATCTATTGCACGACATATCCGTGCTCACAAGGATCTAGTTATATTCCGACTGCCCGCGCGACTTGCAAGCAGACCAATGCCGATTCGACATGACAACATGAGAGAATTGAAGAACTCAGCTGCGGCAGAACACTTTGCTTCAGGCAAGTTAACCCCCGACCTCTGGGCGCTGCCGTGGCCATCGTGCCCCGAAACATGTTGGACCAGAGAGCGGCTTGAGAGAGGGGGAAGAGGAGGAGGAGGAGGAGTCGGATGATGATGATGATGAGGAGGAGGAGGAGGAGGGAGGAGGAGGAGGATGAGGAGGAAGAGGACGAGGAAGAGGATGAGGATGAGGATGAGGATGAGGATGAGGATGAGGATGAGGATGAGGATGATGATGATGATGATGATGATGATGATGATGATGATGATGTGGTGGTGGTGGTGGTGGTGGTGGTGGTGTGATGATGATGATGATGATGATGATGATCATGATGATGAGATGAGGAGGAGAGGAGGAGGAGGAGGAGGAGGAGGAGGAAAAGGGGGTCCGTAGCCATTTTGGCTCAAGGTTGGGGGTCTTGTGCGTACATACCTCAGAACGCCGTGTACGCACGGGCACTTGCAACGTGCTTTCTTTCAGGAGAGGGGATTTCCAACCATTCCTCGCTCTCCGCTGCTCTCTCGGCTCCCATGGCACCGAGCGAAGGCCCCGCCGGCCCGTCGCTCGGGGGCCCGCGCCAGCCGCGGCGTGTCTCGTGGGCCGACGGCGGCGAGGAGTGCGGGCAGGCGACCTCGGTGTCGGTGCGCCATAATGCGCTCGAGAAGGCCGCTGGCACCAAGTCGGGCGGTGGCCAGGCCATGCAGGCGGAGGACGAGACAAGGGGGGCCGCAAGGAGCTGCCGCAGGGAGGCCAAGCGGCGGACGCGCCATGGGCACAGAAACAGCAGGAGTTTTTGGCAGCCCCAAGAGGGACCCTCACCGAGGAGGTTGTGGCGGCCTGCCTGGCTCAGCTCGCTGACAAGGGCGCGTTCATCCGTGACCAGGACCGCGCCAAGCTGGCCCCGCCGCCGCAGCCACCCAAGCAGGTCAAGCCCAAGACCTACTCGCAGGTACTGCGGTCCTGCGCCTGGGAGCTGGAGAAGCTGGACAATCAGGCGGCCGCGAAGGCGGCGGCACACCAGGGGGCCGTCGAGCAGCTGGAGCAGGCGAAAATGGCCGTGGAGCAGGCGGCCGCGGCGCTCACGGCGGCTCGCCAACGCCAGGCCGAAGGCCGCGATGCTCTCGAGCAGGCCAAGCGGATGGAGCAGGCCGGCCTGCTGCCTGGTTACACACCGGCCCGCGGCGTTGAGCTGGCCAATGCGATCGCGGGCCTGGAGGCTTCGGCAGCCGTCACCGCTGATGGGCCCGAGGCCGCCAGCCTCGAGGCTTCGCGCGCAGTCCTGCAACGGAAGGTTGACGCCATCCGAGCCGATATCGCCGAGGCTGAGTGCGCGGCGGCGCCCAGCGAAGACGCGCCCATGGGCGAGCGGGCAGGGCCGCGTGGGCCGCCCGCTGCAAATGCTCCTCCTGCTGCTGCTGCTGCAGGTGGCGAGCGGCGCGGGGACCCTGCGGGCTCAGAGGGTTCGGAAGACGACCACGTGGCCTTCTTCTTTGCCCAAGTCGACCAGCTCGAGGGTGAGAACCGCCGTAAGCTCGAGGAGGCGTGCCAGGCCGCAGGGATCGAGCTCCCAGTCGCCTAGCGCGCCCGTGGCTCCGACAGCCGAGGCCCAGAGGTGGCTGGCCCAGGCTCGGCGTGAAGTCGGAGCGTGGGGGTTGGGCACTGCCAACACCGCGTCCTGCGGCAGCACGACGCGCCGGCTGCAGCTGGAGGCTACAGCCGACGTGGTTTTCCTGCAGGAGGTGGGCGCGGCCCCAGGCGCGGCGCATGAGGCTGAGCATGCCCCCTCGGAGAAGGCTGGAAGGTGACTTTCAGCGAGTCGGTGCGCACCGAGAACGGCGGCCTGCCCAGCTGTGTGGGCATCGGCGCGCGGGCGCACATTGGGGTGGGCAGTGAGCCCAAGGGACCCGTGGGTCAACCGCGGAGAACCTGGAGGGTCCCTGGCGGGGTCGGTGTACCTAGTGGCGGCCAAGGGCCTCGATGCGGAGTCGAAGTCGGTCCTGGGGCAGTTAGGGGAGTACCTCGCTCACGCCGAGGTGCCCCGCGAGCTGGGGGCCTGGGGCCGGCCGCAGGAGGTCGACGGCATGGTCGTGGCCTGCGTCGGGCCAGGCTCGGGGATCAACTTCTTCGCGGTGATCTCGAGCAGCCTAGGCGGCAAGGTGGGCGGCTGTAGCAGGCAGGCTGCGGCACTGGCGCCGCGCGGGCCCGCGCGGCTCCTGCTCGGCGAGAAGGGCCCCCCCGAGCGCGGGCTGGTCTACGTGGCGGCGCGGGCGCTGCCGCGCAGCGGCCCGTGGGGCCGCGGCCCGAGCCTCCCGCGTGGGAACCCTTCTTACGGCAAGCGCGCGCTGCGCTTGCCAAGCTGGGCGTCGCTGCAGGGCAGGCGACCTCGGCGACAGATGCGGGGGATTCGGTGGCGACGCGGGAGATGGGCGGGCCGCAGCCGCCGCCCGATCCCGACGCCCCTCGGCCTGTCTTCGAGGAGGGTGTCGACGCCGCCGCGTCCAGGTGTGAGTCGAGTACTTCTGCCGGTGGGCGGGTGACGGTTATCGGCTCCACGTCGGCGTCAACGCGGTTTCGCTGAGGCCCCTGAGCGGGGGCCTCGACGCGAGCTGGGCGCGGCCTGCGCGGGGGCGCGGCGGATGGCCCCGTCATGCTTGACCTGGCGGTCGACGAGGGCGCCCCGCTGGATGGTTCGTCGGCTGCAGCGCCACCCACGTCGCCGGGCGCTTTGCCGGGGCCCGGGTGGCCGCGAGCCACAGAAACCAGGGGCGCCGTCGAGGTCCACGGCGAGAGGTGCTGGGCTCTGTCGCCGAATGCTTAGCTGGGGCCTGCCCTCAGGTGCGCCCGCGTGGTAAACGGCGAGCGGGGCAGGTCCGCCTCGCCGGGGGATTTGATGCTGCCGCGGCTGGGGCGCTAGCAGGGGGTCGGTCTTCCGCGGTGCCCGTGGGCTCTCCGAGAGCCGCGGGCTCTCGGGCTGCCGTCGGCGTTGCCGTGGGCCCTCGGGCCGCTGTCGGCGATCGGCTGGGAGAGCGCGCCGTTGTTGGTGGGGCAGCGCGGGCGGGGCCGCGTTTGGCCGGAGGGGCGGCGTGTTGGCTTGGGCGAGGCAGGGGGCAGCTCCGGGGGCGCCCTGTCGCCCCGCCTCCGAGGCAGGGGGAACTTCGCGACCGCTCCAGCGTGTTTGACGAGCTTGACTGCGCGGGCGCCGCGCCGTAGCAGCAGCGGGCAAGTGGCGCTGGAGGCGGCGGCAAGGCTGGCGGCGGCAGGGTGCTGGGCTCGGTCGAGCGGTCCGTCTCGGTTCTGAGCAGCTAGTCCAGCATCCGTCGGGGGCGGGGGGGGGGTGGGCAGGATTCAGCCCTGCAGCGCCGCGACCCTTCCCCGCGCCGCCGCGTGCCTTAGCGGCGGCAAGGGCGGCCGCTGTCGCCTCTCGCGCCCACTTGCGCCAAAGCTGGCTCCGCCCCCTGCCGCGGTGGCCCTCTAGCTCCGTCGCGAATCTGCGGGCCCCCCGCTCGAGCGTTTCCAATTGGTTGTAGTTGAGGTGGCTGAGCATGTGGAGCTGGCGCCCCCACTTCCGAACCTCCTCCGCTGACGGCAGGCCACCTCCCAAGTCCCCGGCCGCCAGCAAGTCCGTCTTGGCACGCGGCGCCTTCAGCTGCCCCAGCGCCTCGGGGATCGCCGCCGTCGCACGCGGTCTGCGGAGGCAGGCCAACGTCTCCCAGATGGCGGCCCCAACGCGGCGCCGCCGAGCTGACGCAGGGCAGCCTTTAGGACGAGGCCCCCCTCCAGGCAGCAGCGCGCCCTTCCCCGCGCGCTGCGGCTCGGCGTCGCGCCCGACGTGGAGGCGGAAGTCCTCTGGCGCCGCGTGGCGCGGGCCGATCAAGTCGGCCCCCGTCAACATGGCGACCTCCCCGCGCAGTTGGTTCACCGTGTCCTGCTGCCCCAGTGCAGGGCGGTGCTGGCGCTGCGCGTCGCTCTTGCAGGGCGCCGCTGGCCTGGGCGCCCCACCTCGAAGGGGCGGCGGGGCCAGCGGGGGTCACGGTCGCGCTCGTCGCGCTGAAGGGCGAGTGCCGGGAGGTCTGGCGCTGCGGCGAGGCGCCGCCGCTGTGCCTCGACGCAACGCCCCCAGCAAGGGCCCCATCGAGGAGGTCTGCCAGGCCCCTTCGCCCGGCGACATCAGGAAGGCGGCGGCTGCCTTCAAGGGGTCCACGGCGGACGGCCTCGTCGCCGTCGGGCTTCTGCCGCAGGTGCTGGAGGAGACGCGCAGTTCCCCGGGGCAGTTCGACATGGCGCGCGTTGTCTTCCTGGCGAAGGCGGAGGGGGACTTGCGCCCCATTGGGTTCCTCGCCAGCCTGGCCCGCGTGCCGGGGAAGATGCGCCGCGGCGAGGCCCGGCCCAGGACTGGGAGAGGCAGCGCCCCATGGGGGCTTTTCTCTTCGGCGGCGAGGGTAAGTCATGCGAGGGCGCGGTCTGGATCCAGGCGTTTGACACCGACGTGACAGCGGCGATGCGGCAGCATTCGACGACGTCGATGCTGCGCGCGTCCAAGGCCTGCGAGCGGGATCGCCATGATGGCTTGGTAGCAGCGGCTCGGAGGCATGGGTTTCGAATGCGACGCTTGAAGCTCACCTTCCGCTGGCGCGGTGGGTGGCGCAGGCTCTGTTTGGGCAAGTGGGTGACCGAGGCCTTCTCGCTGGGGACCTCGATCGTCGCGGGCCGCGCCTTCGCGACGACCCTACTGAAGGTTCTGCTCTTTTCGGCCAGGTACCTCCTCGTGCAGAGCTGGCTGGATGTCCGCGCCTACCTGGTCGTGGACGACGTCGCCCTGGCGGTCTACGGTCGGCTGCGAGACGTGGAGTTTGGCATCTCTGGCGTGTCCAGGTGGCTCTGCCAACGGCTGGGGGAGGGCGGCTTCATCATCTCTGTCGCCGAGGGCGCGATTGCATCTAGCGGCGCGGATGCGGGCAAGAGGGCGGCCCACCGCCTCAGGAAGAGGGGCTCCTGGTTGCGCAGCGAGGCCAAGAACCCGGGGATCGACTTCACGCTCGATGGCAAGGCATCGCGGGGAGTGCTTCGAGGCAGGCCGGGGCGTCTCTCGGTGAAGGCGTCGCGGCGCGTGCGTATGAGGCGAGCAGGGGCCAAGTTCGGTGGCTGTGTTCAGGCGCGGCGGCCTCGCCGCAACCGCCCCAGGCGCCCCCGTCGAGGGGGCGCCGTCCAGAGCGCTCGACCAGGCCAGGGCAATCAATGGCAAGGCGGTGGCAGGCGGGCGTGGCAAGGGGTGCAGGACGTTGCAGTTCGCCATCCAGCCAGGGCCTGGCTGGCGTCAGGATCCCGCCTACGCAGCGAACTGCCTGCCACTGGCGGCGTGGGCTAAGGCGGCGTTCGCCCAGCTCGGGCCTGAGACAAGCGCGAGCAAGGTCCTCGAGGCGGCGCGGCCTGCCCGCTGGCGTCGGGTCACGGGGCCAGCAGGTGCCGTGCACCTCGGCTTCGGCCGCGTCGGGTGGGCCGCGGGGTCGCGGCGCGCGTGGGCCACCGACAGGACTTGCCAAATCTAATCGAGGTTTTTTGGGGTTTTTCTTTCGGCCCACAGCAACGAGCCCCTGCGTGAACTTTCGCACCAGGAAAAACTAGTGGTGGTGGCGCGAAAATTAAGACAAAGCTGGCGCTCTTGTTCGTCCCTCCTCCTCCTCCTCCTCCTCCTCCTCGTCCTCGTCCTCCTCCTCCTCCTCCTCCTCCTCCTCCTCCTCCTCCCCCTCCTCCTCCTCCTCTTCCTCCTCCTCCTCCTCCTCGATGGGGGGATGTGGACAAGCACGTGCATGCCTAGATTACCCGCCCATGGGCTACAAACCCTTGTCGTTGTTTCAATGTCGCCTGGGTCAGCCTCGCGGATAGCATCACGTTGCTTATTGTTTCGCATTACTATCGACATCGCCAGTGTTTTGTCCCGTAGTCTCTCCAGGCTCAAAGGCTTGGCTGATTCGGCCACAGCACATTGGATGTTGGCACTGGCTGCTTCGGCCAGAGTCCAATGCTCATTGGCCTGGACATCGGAGACTGCATTTCAAGGCGCGCTCCTCCAGGCCAACCGAAGCCCGAGAAGCCAGGCCATTGGAACACACGGGAAACATACGACTTTGATACAGAAGAGGGGGAGGTGGAGGACGAAGCGAAGGATGAGGAGGTGCTCCTCGTCCTTCTTTTCGCTACAAACTCCCAGGCGAATTCTACAGCGAGGTCGTGCCAGGCTTTTTCCAGTTCATTGTGCTGTTCTCCCTGGCGTACGGCGCCGGCGCAATCCACCTCATCAGCAGGACCACTAAGGGCGAGCGATTGGTCCCGAACAACAGATGGGGCTCGGTGGCCAGGGCATGGTGATGGCAGGGATAGATGGGGCCCAAACAAGACTTGTCTAGGATGGGCCCTTATTCCCTGTGCCAGCACCATCAGGTGGAGGCATGGGTCATTCGCTTCGCCCGCGAGTGCGGCCTGGCCCAGATGAGCACCCCGAGCTCTCAATGGGATATCTCGACCCATGTGCACGCGTGCGCAGAAACATGGGGCCACCGGGGAAAAGGCCCCATTGCCAAAGAGTTGGGTCTGACGCACTTCGTGGACAACACGGCGGACTGCATCTGGAGCGTGCTCTACGATTCGGCTGGCAACGCGAGCGCCACCATGCAGGTGCACGCCGATTGGAAACGCATGTGTGTTACATAATAAGATGACAAGTTTTTGGTGGGAAGAGATTTTCAATATGTGTTTTGGTCCTCCGAGGCTGCCGTCCACTTCACGGGGCTCAATCCCGTCGGGAACGTCTCCCAATTCTCTCCGTGCTGCTCCGTGCAATCTTGGCGAGAGCTTGCCGTTATGCTGGAGTTGCCCTACGTTGACAAGGCCAGGCGGGCTGACCTTTGCAACCCTAGACGTAATCAAACCGACGGCGCTACTTGGCGATCGTCAGTCTGAGGTCGAATAGGGCGTGCGGGCCAGCTCTCCAGAGGCATGGGACATGCTGGGCCCCATGGGGCCGCCCAAGATGCGCAGCATCAACATGCTGCCAGATCTACTGAGCCATCTCAAGCACCACATCGTCCAGGAGTTCGGCCACATCACGTACCACGGGGGCCTCTTGCTCAATACCATGTTGTGGCCCTTCCCTTCTTCTGGGAAGCGCGGGCGTTCCAATGCGCAGGCGGTCAGTGGGTCATCAGCGGCATCTCCAACAACGCATGGAGACACCAATTCAGCGTCCAGTGTGCCAACGGCGCCTACTACTCAGCCGTCAGAGCCTACTGAGCAGGCAAGCCAATCGGCTGATTCGGCCAAGGACGACACGAGTCAGCAATGGTCCAAGTGGCGCACGGCTGGCACGTGCAGCGCTAACTGGCACGACAAGAAGATGCAGCGAGCCGTTGCGCACCGGGTCCGAATTGAGTCCGGCTCTCCCGCGGCGCGGAGGTACATCCAGCTACCCATGTGCAGCGGCTGTGGGCGCAATCAGCCAGCAACAACATGCTGGCGGGTTTTCTGCCGCCCTTGCTGCGTTGATGCAGGCGGCTGCGGCGTGCACTGGTGACTCGGCCACGCTACTGGAATGATCGCGCCAACCCAATCCGTCTTCGTCATCCGATCAGCCCCACCTCGCCATTCATGCCATCAGCACCACTAGCAACTAGCCTAGCACGGAAGCGACAAACCTGGGGGTAAGTTGTGAGGAAGTCTCAAGCGGATTAGCAAAGGTACAATCGCCGTATGAATAACAGAAGTAGTAGCACTGCCAATAAAAGTAGCGGCCAAGGGCATGATTGTCAAACGGTGTTTCTCTGCTTGGACTGCGCCCAGAGACCCCAGATCAGACTGCCTCCGTTCCATTCCGTTCCACCTCATGTTTTCAAACAGGTTTTACTGGCTCAAGCTGTTTCGGCCTTTGCCGTCTACCTCGTACCTGCGCTGCTGGCTGTTTCGGCCATGGGCAAGCGCCCGCCGCCTAAGTCTTCTCCGGGCTCCTCCGTGAAGGCTCCCAGACGCCAATTGAAGGCAAAGACCCCCGATGCGCAGGTTGATGCCGCGCAGAAGAGCGCGGATCAGAAGCTCCAGGATGACAACATGTGCGTTAAGGTCTTGGCCCAGGTCCACGACGCCTTGGAGACGATCAACAAAGACGCCATCTTCGCGGGCGTGATGGACATGGAGCCCCTCAGGATCGGTGACGGCGGCATGCAAGCGCCGTTCAGCCAGGAAGAGTTCAACAACGTCCTCAGCACCCCTCCAGAGACCAACTCCACTGATCACTTCTACCTCTGTGGCGGAAATTTTCTATGGCAAAGTTTTACTTGGTTGGTGAACCACAGAGTTCCAATAAACCATGGACAAATTGCCGAACTCCAGCGCTTCAGTTACAAGCACGACGACCCACCCAACAGGCTGGAGTTCAATGTCGTGGTGTGCGTGGACTCAGCAAACACAGACGTCCTGAGCCACAAGGGCGCGATGATGCGACTTTCATCGCCCGAACCTGTCTTCGCTGTCTTGTTCTCCATTGCCAAGGCGATCCAGGAGGGCGTGGACGAAAAGATCCGCATGCGCTGGCGGAAGGTCTTACTCACGGCCCCCTTCCAATTTGAGGTCGTTCCTGAAGGGGAGGAAAGGTTCTGGCGCTCACAGAACCTGAGGCAACGCCTCATCGAGGCGGGGGTGGTGTCCCACATGTCATGCAGGCAGTGGGTGTACGACATCATGGGGTTCAAGGCCGCCAAGGAAAGGGAGCTGCAGAAGTCCATTAGCTCGCTGGTGCTTGCAAAAATGTACAACGCGAAGATCACGTTCGCCGGCGGCGCTAACAAGATCACCATCAGCGACAGCTTCATTGACAGCGCTGCGACGGTGTTCGAGCGTGTCTTGTCCCAGGAGACGGCCAGGCACTGGCTGGAGTGGGCAGAGGAAAAAATGCTCGGCGAATACCCCTTCAAGACGATCGCTGCGCTCCAAGCTCTCGTGGATCGGGCTCGGAGCCCAGTGCATATCTCGTGGGCGGTCTGGGGCATCACAGATCTGTGGAGGATGGAGCTCATCACACTCGGGGATTTGTCAGGCAAGAAGATGAAGGACTACCGAACGTCCTACATTGAGGTTCTGAACCTCAAGTTCGACATGAAGCAGTATTGCCTTTACACGTGGCTTCCCACCCTGGGCCTGAAGGTCGAGCAGGTCCATAAATTGCAGGAGGTGTTTGAGGACTTCGGGAGCGTGCGGGCCAAGATGTCTGCCTACCCTGGAGAAGTTGCGGACACCACGTGGCTTGTGGTTTGGCGGTCCGAGGGCCTGAACAAAATTGCCGACATCCTGGAGGACTTCATCTGCACCGTGAACTGGGACATGCGCTACAAAGATGCAGTTCGGTCGAAACATAAGATTAACGAGTTCCTTGAGTACGACTCTGTCCAAGAGAAGCTCAACGAGATCAAAGTGGAGCTGGCAAAGGAGATGAGCGTCGCCATCGACTGCGCCCAGGGCAGCGCCGGGGGGGGCACGGCTGCTTCGGCCACCGCCACAGAGACCGCAACACCAGAGGCGGCTCCTTCAGGCTTCGAGAGCTTGCCCGAGTCCGAGCAAGAGCAGTGGGTCAAGTACGCGAACAAGCTGTTAAGCACGTACGTCGAACTGATCCCTGAACCTAAGACGGGCGCCGAGCTGGAGAACGCCCTCAAGGACTCCAAGCTGCGCGAGATTCGGGGCGACCCGGTGGGCCTCGTCCTGTACTACTTCGACGTCAAGGGGCACGGTGAAAGCGAGCATAGGCCCGAGCTTCGCATTCCGTCGCTGCGGGAGCCTATCTACACGAAGATCGTCCGCGCCGTGCTCAAGGCCCGTGCGCCGCCAGGCGGACTGGGGCACATTCGAAACGGCGAGGTTGCGATCATCATGGATGGCGGTCGGAAAGGTAACAGCAACAAGCTCATAGCACCATGGAAGGAGAATACGTCCAAGGAGCAGCAGAAGAAGAAGAAGGAGGACGACGACGAGGACGAAGACGAAGAAGAGGATGACCAGGATGACGAGAAGGGGAGCGTCACCAGTTCCATCTTGCAGCTCGTGTACACAGAGGAGAGCCTCAAGGAACGGCGCCTTCGCAACAAGAGCTCGACAGGCTCCGTCCGCCAAACGGAGTGGGCGCACATGGTTTCGTCAAGCAAGATCTGCCTCCCTGAGCGTGCTCGCAAACACTTCCCAGGGACGACGGCGGGCGACACCATCGTCGGGATCACCAAGCCTGACTACAGCAGGGAGTGGCAGATCTCATGGAAAGTCAAGAAGGAGCTGCTGGGCAAGCGCAACATCATTCGCGTGGGTGGCAAGGCCAAGGGGGCCGACGACGGGGAGGGCACTGACAAGGCAGCAACTGCCAAATCAATTAGCTGCATTGGCACCGCCATGCCATAGGGGTCACGAGCTCGCCGTTCGGCTGACTCTGATGGCATGGCGGCTTGCCATCGCAATTAATGGATTTGGCTGTGCAGGCAGCGGAGCGTCGCACGGACGCGACCATGGGCCCCTGCACGCTCCATGGAATGCCGAATACTTGGTACTCAGAACTGATCCATACATTCTTTGCCAAACTCGTCATCGATATGACCCCAATGGATGGGAAGTTTGCCTACCAGTGCCTGATCAACAGGTTGGGCTACGTGGGCATTGCCTTCAACGAGTTCCATGCCGATGAGCTTTTGAAGAAGCTGAGGGCCGAGCTCATGGACGACATGAAGAACCCCGAGAGCAAGATGTACGTCCCCGCCTACGCGAAGGCCATGGGGTGTGAGGCCGCGGCCAAGCCACCACCGCCGACGGATACGAAGGCCAAGAAGCGAGCCAAGGGAAAGCCGAAAGCGAAGCCGGCTGTGAAGCCGCTGGAGGAGGAGGAGCCGGGGGAGCCGGACGGGGAAGATGTGCCGTCGGAAGAACTTCCAAATGATGACGAGGACGGTGAAGTGTGGGACCCAGACGCGTGAGTGCACATCCTGACTAAGCTGTTTCGGCTCACTGTCAGGATCTAGATAGAAACGCTCACACGCACACACACACATACACACACACACGCCACAGCACGCAGGTACCTAGGTAGACTCGTAGTAGTAGGTTGCGCGCTCCTTGGTACAACATCGGGATTGGTTGTTCCACCAAGGCGTTTGCTGCATTTCAGCTCTTAGCTGATTCGGCTGGCGCATACACCTCGACGTCTACTGCGGCAGAGGTTACAAAAGTGATCATCTTTCTCAACATCTTCCTTTTCGAAAGCCTGTCAAGCGCGAAACGAAAACACAGGAACGTGTCATTTGCCTGTGGTTTGATCCTCGTTCCTCAGGGGTGCACCTCCTCCCTCCCCCTTTTCGTCCCAGCTGAGAGGGCTGATGGATCCCAGGGGCGATTTAAGCACTGCCCCCACCCAAACATGTTAGCGCACCTCCGTGGCGCGATCAAGCGAGGATATCCGCTAGGCTCTCTCGGACCCCGGACAGTAATCTCGAAACCTCATCCTCCTCGTCCTCTCCTGCCTCCGATCCTCCTTTCTCCGATCGCTGGCCTCAACAGTTGCTACGGGGACCCAGGCTTGAGCCAACATGATTGTTTGAATTCTTGGGCGTGTCCGAGCGCTGGTCCAGGGACGTCCCAGGTAGCGCACTAGTTTGGAAACCGATTGACATCCATGAATACGCCAACATTTCTGAGGGAGGCGTAAGGAGCTGGATGCCATCCAGCTGCATGTGCCGCTCAAGGCCGCCCTTGAGTGGCACAGTGCAGCGTTCCAGATCTGGATGTGAGCTGGATGTTCAGGGTCGACCTGAACATCCCGCTCACATCCAGCTCTGGAATGCTGCACTGTGCCACTCAAGGGCGGCCTTGAGCGGCACATGCAGCTGGATGGCATCCAGCTCCTTACGCCTCCCTCAGACTTGAAAGCCATCCTGGCCAAAGCGGGGGCGTCATACAAGGGCGGTGGCTATCTAAGTGGCATCCACTCTGCACGCGCGGTGTAGAGCATCGAGCTTCAGGTTGAAGCAGTGGTTTGTTTCGCCAGTGTCTCACGAGGCCATTGGTCCTATCTCCCAATGTCAGGCTGCCGACGGAATTCAAGGTCGGCACCGAGCGGCGCAAGGAGCTGGACGGGCACATCCAGCTCCTTACGCCGCTCGGTGCCGACCTTGAATCCGAGCGGCTGGCCAGAATCAAGGACGACACCGAGTGGCGTAAGGAGCTGGATACGCACCTCCAGCTCCTTACGCCGCTCGGTGCCGACCTTGAATCCGAGCGGCTGGCCAGAATCAAGGACGACACCGAGTGGCGTAAGGAGCTGGATACGCACCTCCGGGGCCTTGCGCCACTCGGTGCCGACCTTGAATCCGAGCGGCTGGCCAGAATCAGGGACGGCACCGAGTGGCGTAAGGAGCTGGATGGGCACCTCCGGGGCCTTGCGCCACTCGGTGCCGACCGTGAATCCGAGCCGCTGGCCAGGATCAAGGGCGGCACCGAGTGGCGTAAGGAGCTGGATGTATCCGAGTGGCGTAAGGCCCCGGAGGTGCCCATCCAGCTCCTTACGCCACTCCTGTATGTGGCAGACACCTGAGCAGCACTTCCACAGCAAGGATGCTAATAATATGAGAAGAATAGAAAAATGTGCATGTGCATATATAATATAATAATACGTTTAGGCAATTTCCCCGGGGAAAAGGTAGGGCATGACTCTCCACAGCCTGGGCTCCCCCGGAGAACCTGCGGTTCACTCCTCCCCTCCTCCTCCGTTGCCCGGGGGATGTGGCGCCCGTGTTCCTGTTGCCCCTCCTTTCGTTGCTCGTGCTTTCGCCCCGCAGCCACTTGGGCTCCGTTGGCTGATGTGGGAGCCTTCGGAGCCTTCGGACCCTGATTCTGCAGGCGAGGCCCGCCCGGGAAAGGGGGGGCACCGCAACAGGGAGGGGGGGAACGGCCAGGAAGTGAAAGATGTAGGGAAAGGGAGGCGAGGGGGGAAGGTATGGATAAGGAGGAAAGGGAAAGGAAGAGTGGCTTTGAGGGGAGGGATTACCCCAGCGCGACCCTACTTAGGAGTCGGACCCCCTACGAAAGCAGCATTAGTAGTAACAGTAAAGTTCACTGCTGGTGGCCGCTGCCTGGTAGCCGGGTAGCCCTTGCGAGCGCAGGCGGTCGCTCGCCCTTGGTTTGGCCTGGCCTGGCCGCGGGCCCAGGCCGCCAGCCCGAAGCCCAAGGCCCAACGCCTTCGGCTTTTTGGTCATCTCACCAGAGGGCGGCGCGCTCCCGCTCCCGCGATCACCGCGGGCCGCGAGCACGAGCGACGAGCGGCCCCCGACAGGTTGCCGCCGTCGTGGGGCCAGCGCTGCCACATTGCCAACGTGGTCACATTGCAGTTGCAGTGCCGCCGCCAGCAGCGCCACCACAGCGCCCCGTCATTGCCGCCCCCCCTTCGGTCATTTATCTGGCGCGATCAGGGGGCCGCGCGCGGCATGCAGGCATGTTGCGCCTGGGCCTGCGTGCAGTTTGCACACCGGTGCAGCGCCTGATTTTGTAATTGTTGTCAATATGTCTGCCCTCGTCTGGACATATGCGCCGCGCCGCGCCTTGGAGGGCCAGGGCCGAGACGGACGCGCTCTGTTTGTTTTGTGCAAGCCTTGGCATGGGATGGGCACTTGGCAATTGAATTGGCCATGGCGCCGCGACCGTGCCCGTCGGGCCGTCGGCCAGCGGTTCGTTGCAATCATCGGTTTCGGTTCCATTTGGCAGACCAGAGGCTGTAGTAATTGTAGTTAGTAAGTAAGTGCTAGGTAGCCCTTGCGCCTTGCGCCCTTGCGGCCTGGGGCCCAGCGCCCCAACGCATGTGACTTTAGCCGAACTTTAGCCTAACTTTAGCCCTCGGGCAGGGGCCGGGGCCGAGGCCAATCTGCTTTTTTGATTATCCTTGTCGCGCCGCCCGTTGGCGTCGACGTCGCGCGCGCTGGGGGCGACGGGCCCGAGGCCCCCCACGGCGTCGGGCATCGGGCGGGCCCCGGGCCCGGCCAACAGGCGGGAGGCCAGAGCGCAGCCAACAGGCGCGGAGCCTCCAACTCGGGAGCCAGAGCACGGCCAACAGGCGCGGGGCCTCCAGCCGAGGAGCCCGACGACCAGACGACGACGACGATGTCCCGCGCCAAGGCCGCCCAGGCAACGCCCGCAGAGGTTGCAGAGCCGCCCCCGGGAGGGGAGCCGGGGAGCAGATCGGGAAGCACGCGGCGAGGGTGCGCCCGGGGCGGGCGGGTATTTTTTCAGTTTCGGCGTTTTTGTATTTTTGCAAAAAATATAAAAAACGAAACGCAAAAACTATTAAAATAGTTAAAAAATAGTTTTTCCCACATGATTTTTCTATTTTTTATAATTATATAAGAAAAATACATCTCCCCGGGAGAACACCTATTTTTCCAGTTCGCGCAAAGAGGGTGGCCGGAGGGATTGCCTACTTTTCGGAGACCTGTCAGGATCTAGTTCCCCTTGTTCTCGGCCGTTCGGCTGGCGGCCCTCGGCGCTGAAGACGTCAGTGCTGGGGTGCCAGTTGGCTTGACGGGCCCAGGCCGCGCACTGCGGCGACGTTCTGCGCGAGGCTGGAGGGCGCCGGCCCCGGCGCAGCCCCGGCGAACGCCAAGCCAAGCGCAGTCGGACTCGTCGACGTCGAGCGCGGTCATGTCTTGCACCCAGAGCTTCTGGGCGGGGCATGGGCAGGCCCGGGCGTTGGCCTGGGCCATCGCTGGCGCCATGCTGGTTCATTCCAAGTCCAAGTCGCGCTCGGGCCGATCGGGAGATCCAGCAAATTACGGCACGGCAGACTGCCATTGTGCCATTGTGGCCTGGTGCATGTTGAGTCAGGATGATCCAGGATGGCTTGCTACCCGCAGGGGCGGTGGGTTTACCGTTTACCAGTTCTACAAGTCGGGCAGGCGCTGGCGCCACTGGGGCCGAACTCTTGGCAAACATCCACGCGTGCGGCATGGCAGGGGCAACGAGCTCGAGCTGGAATCCTCTGATGTGCCTTGGCAGGGTCAATGCTGGCAGCTGCTGGCAATGCTCGCAGTCGGGCAGGCATTGGAGTCGAACTCGGCGTTGCGACATTTTTTGTTTCGTGATGCCCGGTGGGATCCAGCGTGGCAACGCTGATCTCTACTTCGCTTGGAGGCGCTGGAACCGAATTGAGGCAAACCTCATGACTCATGCAAGTCGGCCTGGTGGGAGCAACGAACGCTGCAAATCCTTTCAGGGGGGCCTAGTCACTCGTCACTAGTCCTAGTGACCTAGTGGCAGCGACGCTCGGGCAGGCGCTCGAGTCGCATGTCAGCGACCTGGTTGTGGCAGCTTTGTAGCAGCAGCTAGCAATGCTGATTTCTTCATGGAGTGGGAACAGTGCGACGTGCTCTGGGCGCCTGGTTCATGGGTTCGGGCAAACCACTGTTTGCGCGTTTTCCCAGCATTGCTCCGACGTGCTTTCTGTCAAATAGGTCGCGCGCGTCGCGCGCAGTGCAACGGCAGACGCGACGGCGAGCCCGGCGCACGGCGGCCGCGTCGATTGTTCTGCTCAGGCAGGGGCCAGAACAGGAGAGGGGGAGGATGAGAAGAGTCTTAGAAGGGGTGGGGGGGCCGGAAGGGAGGTGGACGAGCAGAGGAGGAAGGCGACGGTAGGCAGGGGTGGGCGAGGACGAGGGGGCGGGGAGGAGGGACGACGGCAGGAAACGACAAAGGAAGGGAAGCAAACGAGGTGGAGGAAGAGAGGAAGCGCTGCACACGATCCGTTCCCTGTTGGTTATATCCACTGCTGCGCGGGATCAGCTGTTTTTGTTGTGAGCTTGTCTGGTTTGCATGCGGTTTTCATATTATTTTGATATTATTTGTGTATTTTGAGCATTTTCGGCAATACGTTGTGAGCCTTTGGGCTGGGTTGTATTAATACAGAAACAATACAGAAATAATACGAGCGATATAG